TTTCCTTCTTATTTTACATGACCTATTAGACTTGTCTAGAATACCTGAATACCTTGTGTTGCTAATCACTCTATGTACAATAGTGTAGGTATATTAGCAATACATATTTGTCAACGCTTATATTTTGATTGTGATCGTAAAAAAAAATTAATAGAAATAAGATAAATTATTGTAAATTAAAAAAGTTTTAATATCAACTAAAATACCAACGAATAAATTCAAAACAAAAATGTAATGCATTTTTATAGCCTAATTTATTACTATAGGGCATAGGCAGACTTTGGTAGTACTCCAAATACTTTTTTTTTAGTATACAATACATTATTATTAATACTTTTTACGAATATTCTAAATGCTGTATACTTTTTTAACATTCAATCACATTTTAAATTTAAATAATTTAATTCTATTTCCGTCATAGAAATACCTAGCTATTATATTTGTGGAAGTGGCTAATTAGCCTTTGCCTATATTATTATTATTATTATTTTTTATAATGATAAKGCTTCAACATAGGTTATTAGTAGGGCTCGGATATCAATGCATTTGCATCTTTTTTTGGGATATCTTACGCGATGCTTTCCAAGCTACAAATATGTTTCAAGTACTTCGCATTCTAACCACAATAATTTTTTGGGGAATTTTTTTTGCGTTTTTAGCGGATTTCATCATTTTTAGGGCATTTTTTGACGGTTTTGTCGTACTATGACTAAAAAAATTGACCTCATTGAAATATAAGCACTACATAGTAATATAGTACTACGTAATAAAAATTATTTTCATTTTGAACTATTTGAACTAATTTAACATCAGGTTTTCCGGTTTTTACAACCTTTGTCACACCATCCAATTAGCCGATATCATTGCACACAACTAAACTTTTATCGGATTATTTTCTTATCGAGCGATAATATTATATCGGTGGTGTGCGTTTAATAAATAATGCATTTTTTAATATTTTTAGGGCATTTTTTAGAGTTTTTAGGTTATAAATGCATTTTTTGATATTTTTAGTGCATTTAAATCCGAGCCCTAGTTATTAGCCTACAATTTTGACGATATGAACAAAACGAAATTTATATATATTTACAATTTATGGATCAGATAATTTTATTTCATTTAAAATATTTAAGTGAGTGTACTGTTTTCGTTTAGCAATCCATTCTTTTATCCATCGTTTACGTTTTGTCTGTTTTTTTTTTTGTTACAGAAAGAGCAATTATAATTGCAATACACGCCTTTTTCTTATCCATTTTTGTTAATTTAAAAATATTTATACTATTTAAACTGATTAAATAATTTACAGTATCAATAGACAACAATCGATCTGAACTACTGTGAAAGTAAAAAATACTGAGTATTGACTGTAATTTGTAATGACCGTTTGAGGACTATACTGTCAGTAAAGTAAATACTGTCAATATTCATAGTGTCAGTAATATTGATCGTGTGAGGGCCGCATAATAGAAAAATTTATAAATCGCTTCAGTATTATCTTCACTGAGAGCAGGTCAGAGAGAAGTTACATTTTTAAAAATTGTTTGCGCTTCCGTGTATTTTGGACATTTCGTGATGATGTGCCATGTGGTCGATAGATAATTTCACGTTGCATGTGTTGCATACTGTTGCAGATTCCTTGGCGATGAGGAAAGAGTGGGTTAAGTGAGTGTGTCCTATTCTGGCTCGGGTTATAATAATGACCTCGACTCTTCTTGTAAGATTAGCGGATCTTACATTTTTTTTATGGAAGGCTTAATGTTGCTTAATTTGTTTGATAGAGGAACCTTGGTCCTATATGTTTGCCATGTATCAAGAATTTTAAGGTTAATGGTGTTGAGTGACTGAGGACGAGGTTAGGAATAGTTTTAAGGCGTTGTGAGGAAGTGTAGCTTCAGCTGCGGATTTATCTGCTCTTTCGTTGCCAGAAATACCGACATGAGAAGGGACTCACATGAAAGTTAATGTTTTATTGGACGTAGATACCAGTTTTTGGATGTTCTGTACAAATTCATTCTTAGAGTATAAATTTAAGATTGATTTTAAAGCACTCAAAGACTCACTTATGAATTATGATAGTCAAAGAGTCCGAATTTTTGGATGAGGCAATTTTCAGTGTTTCAAAGATGGCATAAGTTTCCGCTGTATAGATGTTGGTGCTGGGATGAAGTGAAAATTTATGATTTTCATGACCTATGATTATCGCAAAACCCTCTACATTAGAATTATTTGATGCATCAGTATACATGTACCTATGTAATGCTGCTGGAGTATTGTTGAGACAATATTTCCAAAAAGAGAATGCGGATGATTGAGTTGTCAGTAGAATGTTTTAGCGATTGGTGAGTTGAGTGTTGATTTGGGGAGACCACAGCCAAGGGGAAGAAACGTTGTATTTTGCTCAATGTTTGTGTTTGAAGGTCAAGATTTCCGCTGATCATTTTGAAATGTTCAAAAATTGTGTTCCTGTTGTTGGGCAAGTTGTAGGGGTATCTTACTGGATGTATATTTTTTGTTTATAATTAAAAAGTAAAAAATTAGTAAGAAAGACGTCTTTTTTTACATTTTAATAAAAGGGAATTTATTTTATAACCTTTTATTGAATTGACATAATTTTTTTGAAGCCATTTATTGTTTAAATATTTAACATTTGTTTACTGGTTTTTACTCAATTTCCTCAATCAGCCGAAAACAAAGTACTTACGTTCACTAATATTTACTTTAATACAATACAAAGMACATTTACGATATAGGCAGTGACACCCGCAAAGCACAGTTGAAAATAAATAGTTTTATAAAAAAATCGGCATTCGCAATGATGTCATTGTAGTATCGTCGTGACGTCATATCAAATAGTTATACTTGAGAATGTTCATGGACAAATCAAAATTCACGATGACCGAAATCAGAAGGTCATTTAAATCTCCAAAAGACAATATAATATTAATATGATAATTTCAATAAATTTTATTTTATTTTAAACATCATCTGCAGAATTATGAAATAAAATATAAATGTCAGAAATAATTATATATATTAATATATTTAATTAATGCATTAATTGTCGGGTAATTTTTGATCTGACTGTATACTAAATTGATTAATGAAATTTGAACCTGAACCATAATGAGACAACAGATAAACGATGAGTTGAATATAAATATGACTTACGGATTCTTCACTCCTCGCTAGCATGACATATTGACATTATACAATTATTTTTAAAAAAACATGCGAGTATCTGATTTTCCCCACGGATTATAACAATGCGGCATTTTTCATACAGCTAAATTTATTTTATGTAGTTAGGTACATGTAATAATATTTTCATGTTGAATATTATAAATACACACTCAAAATATACATTCGAAGAGTAACGACTACTAACTAGCAAAGTTTAAAATTTACATCTACTACTAATACCAGTAATACCACCATAGGCGCAAATCGCAGGGGTTCTTAGCACCCTGAATGTTAATGCTAGCACCCCGAATCCCGTGATTATAGTACTATTACCATCATATTTCCATAATAATTACATTTATTAAAAATTCAAAAACAGTTTCATATTTATTTTAMTATTTTTAATATAATATGTCGAGTTTACATCTGGATATGTAAAACATATTATATAGGTAATATCATAATAATTGTTGTGAAATTATGATATTAACGGGAAATATGATCTGTTTCCTCAAACATTGTTGGTGCTTAAGCCCCCCTAATGTTTTTGGGTGATTTGCGCCTATGATGAATACCACACCAGTATGGTTCGTAATCGTAATACTCTATCATAGAAATTATTACCTATTTCCTAATAATATCATTATGTATTTATGTGTATTAATTATCATTTTGATTTCACGTGTAAGTACAACGTATATCGCTCAATAATAATTGTGCAGTTTTCATATTATATATTTATATTATAATTAAAAAGTATAAAATTCAGTCGCTGTAACGGCATTAGTCTCTAATTTTAACATATACCCAGATACCCTATAGTGCTATTACTATACGTCTATGCATTTCCAATGCATAATCTGCAATCCATACCGCCGTACTTGCAGTTACAAACGACTGGCGGTGGACAGTTACGGTTTTCTCTTTGCATCGGGTATTTGTGAGTGGTTTTCAGTAGGTTAATATGTAGACATAATGTATTGATATCGTAGAAATTAGGTAATCCAAAAATGTTTCAGTGATTAATTAAATTGTATTTCAATTTCAAATATACAAATATACAATTTAAAAATATAAACTTTTTATGATGTAAATAGTTCATCAATATTAAACTATATTTTTATTTTATGTTGAAAAAAGCAAAGAATACCATTGCAATTTAATGATAACATACCTATATGTTTTTTTTTACTAACTACTACGGTACGGCACTGTAAGTAATATAATAATAATAAATAATTGAATAATTTTATATTTTTATATTTTTATATATAATTGTGCAACAAAATTAGGTAGGTATTATATGTAGGTACACGTATAACATACTGCATACATACTATAGGTACTGCATTACACGCACCTGTAAAATGTGAATAAAAAATGTTTTTTTTTTAATTTATAAAATTATACTATCTAATATCTAAACACATATAATATGGTACAATAAGGATAACGGATGTCTTATATTATATAACGTTGCTTGAATTATTTGAGCGCGAAGAAGCCTCTTCACTGKTAAATGGTGATTCGGCGTAAAATACGTATAATGTATATAAAATATAATAGGTAACTATAATAGGTCAGTGCCATATTTCTCAGTAAACACTATAAGCTAGTGTTTAAGGCGACAATTTCGCAAGGGTGTCAAATAATTTTTAATATTATATTTTTATTATATGTAACTAGAACTAAAATAAATGCAACTCTAATTATAAAATGTTTTATTTTAAATGATAAAGGAAACAATTATAATTGTATGCTCTTATAACATTTTTTTGACTAGAAAAATATATTAAAAGGCGAAAATAATTTGTTTAGTACTTAAACCGCAAAGAGTAGCAGTAGGGATAGTCCGAACTGCTATTACTTTTACCGTAAACACGACATAACACGCGTATCAAATAAAATCCCAAGAAACTTTGAATCTGCCGACAGCTTTCGGTTTAAGTTTTTCAAACGCAGTCGGAGACACATCTATGTCATTCATCTTGCAGCCTTCGCATTTGTCTCTCACCGTCACAACGATCGATTTCGACGTCCCGGGGTCGACTATTTTCACCTGTTTTCCGCACATGGGATCAAAATTTGGATTCGCCGTCTTGAAATGACCGAACGCTATAGCCGCAACCATGTCGTTGTTGGCGTACACTTGGCCGCACGCCGTCAACCCTAAGTTGTAATAGGTTAGGTCTCCGATATTTTTCAGTTGCACCGCGCGCGACGAGTCGACCGAATTACGTTGGTGACAGCATGAATACACATTGCCACCGGTGCACGGCGTGCGCTTTATCTCCTTCATTCCGCCGTACTGCTCGCAGCCCTTGACCAACCACGATTCCGGTTGACAACCCGTGTCCCAGCACTGTCCGCACGCGTAATGTACGGCGGCAGACAGCGCTAGAATAACGGCCACCGACGGAGAATATACGAATCCACGGTTCATATTATTGTCTTATTAAAACGTATACCAGTATTGTGTCATACGATATATAAATAATAATGGACGGATAGTCTAAAAGACCGGAACTAAAAAAAAATTAATTTAAATTCAAAAAAATAAGATACCCTGTATGAAATATAAGATTTATTATTATAATATATTATAAGGTGGTGCGAAGGTGTGAAATTTGGAATATCAAAATATCGACTTTTGGACTAGATTTTACCTGCTATTTATATATTAGGTACATATTATGTTAAATATGTATATGTCGTATGTATAGGCGTATCCGGTATCGCCTCTATTACGTATATACTGTATACAATTAGGATACCTGCACAATATAATATACGTCATACTACATAGTGTAATGAAATTATTAACTTCCTATTACTTATTAATTATTATCATAATATGGATATGAGGGTATGAAATTTACGCTAATAATTAAATGTTAATTATAATTAAAATTTTGTGTTAAGTCCTTCCACTGCAGGTTATTTTAGATAGGTACCCCGTATTCACCTATAGTCTAAGCAAGGTTATTATTTACGTTTTATCTTAACAGTATATTTTCAAGAGCGGATTTAAGGGCACTGCAAACTATACGGCCAAATAGGGTAGTATCACAGCTTTTTTAAACGCAAACAAATTTTATATAATATTTATTTTGTTCTTATACAGAAAAATACTTAATTTACTTGGGTATTTTATTCATAGAAAATGTTATTAAAAAAAGACATTTATTGTACAGAAATGATTTTTTGTTTTTAGGAAAAGTCAGCACATTTTTATTTGGCATATGGGTGAAAAGTTATTAAATCTCCAAATCCTCCCCTACTGACCTTGATGAAATACAGAGAGTACAAATCGTATGTCAAAAATAAAAACGTGATTATTTTAATCGAATTTTTAATAAAAAAAAGTTTGATTTTGATACATAAATATATCTAATATCAGTTATCACTACTTTTTATTACAGAAGAGCGGTTGCTTGAACTTATTTACCGAGCCTCATGTATTTTAAAATATTATCGTACAGTCAAAATTCATTTTAAAAATAATTTCTCAAACGACTCAAACCAAAATCTCTTAGCTATAATTTATATATAATATATTAACACCAAAAAATACCATTTGCTCACTCACTCGCGAAATGTATGAACTTGAAATTTGGAATAGTAGTTCTTCTAATAAACTAGGCAAATGTGCAATAAATTATAAGGATTTTCCGAAATTCACATTTTGAAGACGTACTATATGTATTTAAGTACTATAATGAACCAAGAATTTTGAGATTCACGATGGAAATCTATTTATTTTTTCATATGTAAATAATGAATGCTGGTTACAATGTTACAAATACCTAGTAATAATATAATAATAGAAACTACAAGGAATTAGTACCTACTTCCTTTTTCCTTCCACATTTATTATTCTGTATTATACTGCATCATTACTATATTTATAAGGCTTAGTGTATTGGCTTTGGGCAAGTGAAAAATTTTCAAAACCTGGATTGAAAAAATTTGGCACTTGACCCAAAAAAGGTTCGCCCCCCCCTCCTGGACTACAGTGTCGTATCTAAACATTTTGACACGAATCATCCTATTCCAATATAACAAATAATAATAGCTGTAAATATAGGTTAATCGTTTTACAAAAAGGTTAAGGTACTTACCTATGCTACAGAATCACCCTTTTAAATATTCAAAAGCTTGTTACGTCAATGACAAGTGACAATGATGGATAGCCAAAAACTGAATAGACAATAGTCATAGGTAGTTGATAATATTGTACGTCCGTAATCGATTACTGAGTACGATATTCATAAATACTTTTATTTATATTTGTTGATAATAATTAATAATAAATGATTGTTAATGTGCAACATGTTATTATAGAGGAAAAACGAAATAGGAATTTACCATGATTAATATGAATTATTAAATATTAATGTTTATCGAAATTATCAGCTGCAAATCAACAATTCAACAAGCACCAAATCAACCTTGCATATTCACCTAGCGGCTAGCACAAAATTAATATCCAAATTATAAGTCAAAGGCCGGTGAATACCAGAGCCGTCGGTCGATGACGCGACCATATATATAGTGAAGCGGTGGGTTTTCACACTGCTCAGTCATAGAATGATAATTATTAATTTTTAATTATTAATAATTATAGATTTAAACATTGATTTTTATTCGTAGATTGTATAACACATTATTAAGTTATTTGATGTTCCGATAACTATCTGTTTCTAAGATAGCCGATATTGTATAATCAATGGTATACCATGGCTACACCTGGTGTGCCCAGGCACCTCCAGGGCTCCAGATCTTTCATCAAGGATCAAGGCTCTAATAATTAAATAAAGACCCCAATAAATTGGTTGGTTTTTGAAATATTACTTGAAATGAGTTCTTCAAGTTTAGAAACCTCGTATAAAACGAGCAAATTTAACGAATAATGTTAAATTACTATTAATGAAAGTTGCCAATAATTCGAAACAACAAGAACTTTGTTTTTTTTTTATCAAAAATGGTAGACTGTATACCTATTGAATTCGTTCACTGAAAATATGAATAATTTCTTAAAAATAAAATAATAATAACTTTATTAAACCTCTATAATTGTTTATATTATAAAAAAATTCCTATATTTAATAGTTTTTGTGATTCTCGAGGCTAATAATTTTCAATGTTCCCCCATCATCATCGGTGTATTAGCACGATCATAGAGATGCCCTAATTGATATTCTTACCTTTTAAGTTTATTTCCAAATCCATTCAAATCAATTAATCTGGTCGATTCATTCTAATCTATTAAAGCTAAATATTCAATTCTGACTAGTTCTGATATAAATTTGGTATGCATTGAAAACTTATACAATTTATTGTAATATTCACCTATTAATTACGTTTGTAAGACAAAATCAAGTCAAAAACAACTCATATTATGGGTATAATTGTGTAGACATGATATAATTATTAAATTATTATAATATTATCACACATATTTGAAGTTTGATTTAAAAAAAATATATTTAAATCAATAAAACCATTTTATTATTATAATTTATATTTTATAGCCAATACTTTTGAGCTCGTTTTAAAAAGGGTAACCTGACAGACAAGAGTAACTAAAGCTACATGTGAGATATGTTGTGATACTATAATATTGAGTAATATACTTTTGTTGTGTTGTGTTGAGAAAAAAACATAATATAATATATATAATATATAACATAATACCTACATAGGTATAGGTACTATATAGTAGGCAACAATCATAGGCTGAGCCAGTGGGTGTACAGGGTATGCGGTGGCACCCCCTWAACGCACARACAAWTTWGTGTGGAGTTCAAACGTCGTATGATATTATGATTTAGCATTGTATATCATAATTATTGTGATATAATAAAGTATTATAATTTTTTATTTTATTTTTATTGGAGGAGGGACAAAAATATTCGCACCCCCTGAACGTGAAGGCTGGCTCCACCTATGGCAACAATGATGTTTTTATAATTACTCATAGTACTTACTATATTAGATTCTTTCCTCCTGGCTCCTAGTCAATCATTATCAATTTCTCTATGTTTTACAGTATACCATCCGTCAATTTCTTCTTTTTTTTTGGAGGGGGGAGGTCCTTCCTATTCTGGTTGTGATTCATTTAATTTTCTAACCTTAATTTATACTCTTCTTCACTGTAAAATATTACAATTTTAAAATCTTCAATATTCGCTTTATAATGTTAATACGTTACACTTTAGAACCTAGATAATATTCATGTAAAGCGAGTTATGGACATTTAAAAATTGTAATATTTAACAGCCTAGATAATTAGGTATATAACCTTTAAAAGTTAAAACAATCATTAACTTTAAAGTGTATTACTATATAGTATTTACTATGCAGAAAAGAATAGATCCCGCCTTCTTGATATCATTTAAAAATTTCAAAAAATGCGGGAACACAAAATGAGATTAATAAATTCACAATTACACAGCGTCTTTGGGTCACCTGTTCAACGGTGAATTATCCGGTGACTGCTTAACAAAGCCCTTTATGTTTCATGTTTTTGCTATATATAAATAATTTGAATTAACAGAATTATGAACATTATGCATTTACGCAGAATAGTAAAAATCAGAATTCGAAATTATGATTATTTAGTATAATAATTCTACACAGTATACGGCTAAATAGAATTAATAGAATAATACGATAACCGATAGTATCGAATGTTTATTCTTTGTCTCTAATGTTTCTATGTATCTTGTATCTAGTCCAGCAGTCCTGCTGAGTATCGTCAACAACGTCAACGGTGAACGGTGACAACTGACATTCTGACAACATTTATTTTTCCTGCAGAAGTGCATAACTCCGTTCATTTAATATTTGCATTTTGTCATTTGCTTGTGTATATATTTTCAATAGTCGTTAGTATTTATATTTCTGTTGGTTTTTTGTCATTTTCTAGGTAAGTGTACTACAATGTATTCATTTATAAAAACTGATAAAACTTAAGATTTATAAATACTCTACACACTTATATTTAATTATTTAAAACAATTTTTAGGGCTGATTATTTTAGTTCAAACGTTTTAAGTTAGAAACTATTCATACATTTTAAATTAGGTGCATACTTGAATATTTTGAAAAAAATTATCCACTAATTAATTTATTGTRAAAAAGGAAGGGTGAAATCATTTGATTAATAGAAGTTGTGTATGTCTCCAATACACTCCTTAAGTAGCAAAAAAAATTTGAAAATTTGAAAGTAAATCAAGAATTCCTAAAATTCAGAATTTGAATGAATTTATTATCAAGGAAATTATGGTGGCGGGGAAATAGAACATGCTTGATGATTCACCCTGTATAGATAACTTTTGAAAGTTTAAAAAAATAAGTTGATTTCATATTTTTGTTCTCTCATTTAGTCATTTATAACAAATTTAATGGACAAAACCATCTGATGAATTTCAGCCAGTTTACACAATCTGGCAATGACAGAATATTATATTAGTATTTTTAATTTACATAAATTTAATATTGTTTTGGTTAATTATTGGCCATCGCCTTTCGGAATCAATAGTGGTGGTCATCTATCAAAGCATTCTGTAATATTAATAATTATGTTGGTATTAAAAATATATAAAAATATATAATCATTTTTAACATTTATTAAATATTGATGATATTTCGGGTTTTCAGACTCCTTGGATCAACTCCCCCTCCATCTTATCTTAGATACGGTCTAAACTTTTATGTTAAAAAAACTCAACTGATCAATTTTATGTTTAATTGATTTTGGGCAGTTGCGATAGCTAATTTGTGAATACTGTAAAATTATAAATGGGTACCTATAGTTGCAATAACTGATAATTACCAACACTTGTTTCTATGAAATTTATAATTCCTTTAAGAGTAAACCTGACAATGAATAAATATTAAATAAATATAATTTATATACCTAATAATTGAAATAAATAGGTGTAGTTAGGGTATTATATTTTATATAATCATTAAATAAATGTTTATACCTACAATATTTAATAGTATTGTACATGCGTAAATGGTACATCATATAATAATAACAGGAAAATAATAATTTTCCTTCGTCATTTTATGAATTGTAAAAAAAATGTCCATACATCTTTGTTGGTAGGTACCTATTTATTAGTATTCTATAATTCTGTAGTTAATAATGATTAATAATAAAATAATGTACAATAATAATAGTCATGAAAATTTCATATTAATTATTTTTCATGTGGAGTTTGTTATCGTTTAATTATAATATGACTTTTTTTAGTGTAGGAATACCAAAAATATAAATAGTTATATTAATAATGAAAATATTTTTAACATGCTAGTCCTTTTTTATATAAAACTTTAGAACCAGTATATCTGACATATAAGCATATATTAGATTTTTTTTAAATTAAAATTATCCTAATTTTTATTTCTCTGAATTATTTAAAAACTTAAACCTTATTACCTTATACAATTTTTCATAGAAGTACTTATGTAAGTAAAATAATTATTTCTGTATTTGCATATAATTTATTGTTCTGAATTCTAACACTAAATGATAAAATTATTGTTTTTTAAAACCAATAGACTATAAGCATAGGTGCAAATAGTGGGGGGAGGGAAAAGGTTTTGCACCTCATTGGAGTAGATACATGAAAACGTTTTCATTCCTAAATCCTAGATCTAAATCTCCAGTCTTTTTTTCCTAGGTGGCTAAACACCTTTTCCCCATTTTCTAACTTATTAACTGATTACTAGGTACCTACATTATGTAAATTTTATTTTTTTAATCATAGACAAAATGGAACAAATAGTCAAGATTTTTGTACACCAAAGTTACTTTATAGAAAATGATTTAGTTGTTGATTATAATGTGGAACAAGAAGTAAGTTTTTTTTCAAAGTTATTTAAAAGTTATGAATTCTAATTTTTCAACTATAATATTAGGCTCTTGTAAATGTATCTCCTAAAGATTGGATAGCATTAATCCCTAAAGGATGGTGTGGAGTAGATGAACAAGTTGCTTATAAAACTATTGATAGTGATTGTGATGTAGCAAATTTAGCAATTAAATCAGTTATTATGGAGAAAAAGTGTTTCCAAGATGTTGTTAAGTGTGAAAAACATTATCAATTAATGTATATCAGTCAAAATTTGGAGGTTAGATTTATTGATAAATTAAAAGTTATCACAGTTTTAATGTATTTGATTTATATTTATTTAATATAATGTATTAATAGATATTAGGTAGAAGTGAGTACTTTACATTTCTTCATCAATCAGGAACTTGCAACTGTATTCTTTCATCCAATCAAAATGAAACTAAAGATAATTCTAAGCAAAGTCGATTGTCTGTAAGTATTCATAACTATTTTAACATAAAAAAAATAGTTTATGACAACAAGGAAGCTAGTTAATAATTAATAGTTATAACTTATAATAATATATACATCCATACATTGATGATACCAGTTTTAATATGACTGACAATAATAATAATAAAAATTGTATGTATTAAATAAAAATGATTTAGAACAAATGTTTTATGTATATATTATTACAAATATGATATCAATTAACTGCATTCTCAAATAGATCTAAAATGTGTTTTATATCTTTAACTTGTTGAGCTAATTTATAGATAGGTTCCATTTCTTTTGAGACTTCTTCGCATTTAGCCATTAATTGATACATAGATTTAATATTAGCATCAATTGAATCGCATGTTTTACAAACTACATCCCTGTATATTTCCAAACAGTCAACAGTTAATGCAGACATGCTATGTAAAACTCCTGAGAGAGATTCTGATAATGTATCTACAGATGCAGCAATATTTCTGGCTTCAAACTCTAAATCGTTTAGTAAATTGGCATCTAAAACAAATCTTCCTAAAGGTCTGGTAGGCATTGTTGGGCTTGTCTGTTTAAGTTTGCTTTCCAAATCTTCAGCTATAAATGTTACCATATCACCATTCTTAGTTACTATTCCTTCAAGATTGTTTAAATAGTCCATATTATTAGATTCTTTGACGTTTCAATGTTTTATCTGAAATGTAAAATAAAAATAATCAAAAAATTAATAGTATAATAGGTACTATAATGTAATTAAATTTACATAAACACGTTTTATGGATCTAACCTAACCATGAATATTAAAATATTATTGCTAAAATTGTATGTATTTATTTTAACAGTCAACCTCTGGCCGCAACAAACCATTACGTAGGCAATCGCCAACACCACATGCATTTTACAAAAGTCGCCCTCAATCTCAAAATAGTGTAGTAAAAAGTGAAAAATTAAAACCAAAACAATGGTCAACAAATAAATGCAATAAATGTAATGCATCTAACAACTTTTTAGCACTTGAAAGTGCATACCTTGCAAAAGTATAGATATTAAATATGATTATATTTAGAAAAACAATTAACCACATTTGTTCAATTAGATTCAAGATTTAACCGAAAGTAATAAAGTAATGGAACAACGTTTAGCGTCATTTGAAAAAAATTTGGTTCATACATTAGAAGTAATTAATAAGCAATTCAAATTGATCACAGTCCTTTCACAACAAAAACAAAATCTTCAAAAATTTATTGATGATCTAGTTGATGGCTTAATTAATGATGACAAGATAACATTTTGGGCTCACGATCAAGAGGTAAATTTCAATAATTTTTTTATAAAACATGTATTATTTGTAAATATAAATAAAAATGTTTTTTTAAGAAATTAAATATGAATAAATCTATAATTATATGGTTTAGTTTTCAGTGGTTAGAGAATACCCTGAAAAAAATCAAATCTCTCCTTTGTCAGATGACTGCACATTGTCTATTAATAAGTCACTAAATTTGTCCAAAGAGGTTTATATGAAAGCTATTATTGGTCAACAAGAGGAAACTATTCAACATCTTGTCGATAAAATAAAGGATTTTTTTGATATTTTCCTCAAAGTATTTAAAAGAATTATTTATTTATAAATAATAAACAAATGTAAATAATAATGGATACAATTATTTTAGCTAAACTCGCAGGCGAATGAACAAAATAAGTCAGATTCAACTTCATCAGAAAATAACCTAGGTTATATGGATAGTTCAGGAACTACATATTATTCTCCTCCGTCATATATTACAAATTCATTGAACGATATCAATTCATACTTGGCCAATACTGTTAATTATAATAATAGAATTGAAAAAATGGAAATAAACGAAAATGTTTGTAACTGGACAAATAACACATTTTCTGATACTGACTCACCTTTTACTTTGGTAAGCAAAATTTATTAGATTTTTTTTGGTAATTACCTATAATTTAATGAATAAAATAAAATGATATCATAAATATAACTAAAAAATAAAACAATTTAGGAATCAAATGTAATGCCTACATTAAGTAATAAAGTCAAAGGCAAAGTATTGACATTTGAAGATAGGAAGAAAAAAGAAACCCCATTTACATTGTGCACTCAATCACCTGAAAACTGTACCAATGAAAACGAATTGAATATTAAACAATAAATTAGATGCAGATGAAAGTAACAATTTTACACAAGGAAGTAATAATTCATTTTAGGTGAGTTTATTCTTATTTCTTATTTACTAAGTATTATGAAAGGCAGTGCCGCAACTATTAATTCTGAGGCCTGATTGCAAAATTTGTTTGGAGGCCCCAAATTAATAATTTTTTACTTGATTTTTGTATTATTACAGCAATATTATTAATCAGTATTTTTTTCGTATTTTAACTTAAATGAAATCATTTATAATGTTATACGTATGTGCATTATACTAATTAGACAAGAAGTTAATTTTATTATTAAATAAATAATTTAGTTATTATATTATTAACATTAAACCTTAGAACAAAATCAATTTTAATAATGTTATCTCTAAATTAAACACAATGCTTGATATTTTTGTAGATTTAATTGTATATTATTTATAATTAAACAGAAGAAAATATCTAATAGGTAATATATATAATATATATATTAAAACAAAAAACAGTTTTATAAAATTTCATTTAGGCATTTTAGCAAAATATAATAAAAATGAACAATAAGTTGTTTCTTAAAATATAAGATAGAATTATAAAGTTAAAACAATATAATGAATACATTAATACATTATTGTTTCAAAAAAATTTTTTTTCGGGCTTTTGCGTTGGCAAAGTCTGTTATTATCTTATCAATATTAAGTTCGCGGTACTTTTACTTTCAATATTCAAAATACTTATATTTTTTAGTCGATCTTGGCCAGAAGAATTCCGAAGATAATATTTATTAATTTAAGATTTAAAAAGCTACGTTCTGCAGATGCGACTGTTATCGGTAAAGTTAAAAATAAATAACATGCTGCAGATAATAGTATAATACATCTGGGTAACTTATAGACAAATCCATTTCAATAATATAACAYATAGATCTTWAATAGATTTTAGATTTTGAGATGAAATGTTTGTTTTTAGACTTRTAATTTGTCGCGTGAAATCTGAARTAATATCATATTTATAAAATTGAATGAAATCATAGGTAGATTTAATTAGAGAAGACTGTTCATAGCTCAAAAGTGATTTCGGGCTTAAAAATTTGAAACGATCAGAAACACATTTCATTCCATTAAATCGTCCTTTGAGTTTAAATATTATACAACCCACGACTGGTAAAAATACTTTAATCCTAAATTTATCTTCAGAAATATCAAATCTCCGGTCACCGTCAACTTCTCCTAATACTTTTTTATGAAACTTAGGTCTCGAAGAATAGAATGAAATATCAATTCCCCATTCATCATATAAGCGTTTTGATTCTATATATTGTGCTGTAGTAATTTCGCATGTGTTGCATATTTTGAATAGCTTTATCCAGAAGCATAGAAGCATTCTCTAATGAAATATCCGTACTTTGTAAAATTTTAGATACAGTTTCCAAAATATATAAAATTAATACAAATTCACTCGATTCTATCTTATTTTTAAGTACTTTACTCATATTTCGTTCATCTTTTTTACTACTTGTAAGTGATATTACTGTTAAATATTTGATTACATCAATAAACCGTTCTTTTAATGCAAATAGTGCCAAATACTGCAGTGTGTCTAGATTCCCATCGGGCAGAGCAAACATTGTAAAATTCTTAAAAATAGTAGCTACTATTATTTTACTATTATTATTTAGCACTGTATTGACGTATTGCATACTATTTATACTATACTTAATAATTATGCCTATAATTAATTTAATTGTTAAGCATAAAATCTAAAAATATTCGTAGAACGATAGAGCAAAAAAAAAAAATATTGAAATAGACGATTTTCATTTTTGGTTTTTGGTTTTAGAGGCCCGTGTGCGTTGCACACTTTGCACACCCAGTAGTTGCGGCATTGATGAAAGGTTAAAGTAGATACATCTAAATAATAGATCTTGAAGTCATTATACGAATAAATAAATTGTTTAAAAATAGTTACAAGTAAAAAGATTTGTTTTCTATACAATTTAGTCGAGATATTTTATACCAGAGCATTAATGCTCTTCAATATTACCATATTATTAGAATCTTCTTAATACTAAATTTATTTATTTTTAATGTATKCATTATAATTTAATTTGTCAGTTAACTTAAACTTAATATGTCTTTATGTAAAGTTATAAATGTTAAATGTAATTATTCCAAATTAATAATACAAAATTGTATTCTTGCATTTACCTGCAGGTGCTAATTAATTATAATAATATATTATTAATTCTGTATTAAAGGAATTTGTATAATATTGTTTATTAGCGTATTTTTAATAACATCTTGATACAAATCGTTCTGGCAAATATGATTAAATTAATTTATTACATATTTTATTGTAATCAATCAACTTATTAAACTTAATAAGACATTAAAAATAAAAATCTCATGGAAAAAATGTATTAAATTTTACAACACGTAAGATGTAATAAATTCTACAGTTCTTTTCCATTTTGATAATAAATCAATTGACTTATAAATCCTAAGTTGAAACATAGTGTAATAAAATAAGATATTTTGATAGTGTATTAATATGGATTACTTTGTATGATGATTTTATTAGTAAAAAAATTTATTTACCAATATTTGTAATTTCATGTTCTAATATATTATTTATTTCTTTTAGATGTTCCATAATTTTATATGTTATGATACTGGAGTTCAGATTTACTTTTGGAGTTTTTTTTTGTTTTATTTAATATGTTTATAATTTACCAATAAAATATAATTCATAATTATGTTATTTTTTCTTATATTTCAAAACTGTAATTCCATAAATATATATATGCATATATATAATTTTTTTTTGCCGTTTTTCACATAAACTTATATACTCATAGTTTGACATATTATGTAATAAATTTATTCAAAATTTAAAAAGTATGGCATATTAATTGATTAATTTCTTTAATAAACAATTCTTTTAGAATTAAATACCCATCTTGATTTTGGATTTTTATTGTTTTTTGTTTTTTTTGTGTTTTTTTTACGATCCTATTTGTTATACGAGTAATAGCAAGAATAACATAAAAATCTGTTGAACTTGCTTCTGTTACATTGTCTTTCGTGTGATCAAGCCCCATTGTAACTGATGTGTTAAACGTTTTAATTTGGTGTTATTAAAATTAGTTTTAAGCATTTAGCATTGTATACAAAAAATGGGCTTAAGCACAGGAGACTGTAGTGGATCAGTTTCTAATACTAACTTCCAATTAATGTATATACTTAGCACATCTTTTAATTTAGTTGGTTAGACTAATTCTTGTTAATAAAAAACATTCATCAGTGTATCATAGAATAAAAAAATATGTTCATGATATAAATAACTGTACAAATACTACTCTTAATATTTTGAACATAATTTACTGCATTAAAAAAATTATTGTATTAGTTATAGTGGTGATCATGTAAATCTTAAATTTTCTTCGAATAATATTTTTTCAATGACAATGATATATTTATGGTTATAATTATGAAAGTATTGTATTAAAATTTAAAATGTTTTGATGTTTAAACTAATTTTTTTATTAATTAACTAATTTTTGTGATTTTACATCATTTGAACTTCGACGATTATAAAAAAATATATATTCAAAATGCCAATAAATAACTTAAATATTTTAAAAATTAAAACATCAAGAAATGGCTAACATTTTGTAAACATTTATAACATATTCCTGAAAGACAACAAAATAATGAATTATATATTTTAGTCAAAAACAACTTGATGCACTTATTTTTGTTATCTTTTCCCTATGATGAAAAATACTGAAACTTCCTTATTGTAAATCTTCAATTTAACAGTTACATAAAATGAGCTACCAGAAAACAAAAACAATCTTAAAAGTTAACTTTTTGCATGAAATGTCATCACAGAAAAGAAAATATTGTACCTATGGTTTTGCAACCAATAATTTATTCATGTATACAGTATACTAAATTTAATACAAATTACACAATTATTATATTGTAATTACATTATCAAAAATTGTTTATAATAAGAAAAATATAATTTCTAAATGTATAATAGATATTATTTGTCTGTCTTGGCAATTATCACGATTAGTTTCTAGGTTTCTGCAGTTCTGCAGAATGTAATTTTTCTAACATTAACTTGGCACAATACATTGTATAGACTTAATAATATTTTTAATATTTGTATTTTGTTTACGATTTAATGGTTAAATTTCTTTCAAAAATAACTGTTGGCTATGAGCCTCATTATAACAGAAAAAAAAGTGATCCTAATAGAACATTGATTTATATATGTATAGTCTTGTATGAATGTATAAAAATTTAAAATTATAATTTTTTAGGTATTTTTATCCAACTTGTAAAGCATAAAATATTGCAATCATTGCAAATTATTAAACTTTTGTTTGCTAAATTAGACATCAAATTTATGAGAATATAAATTCTTTGTGATAATTGATAAAAGATAAAACAAGGAAAAACTGGTTTAATGGTGAACGCGGTGTGAAACAGGTTTAAATTGATTTTTTTTGTACTACGATCTTATAAATCTCAACTGCTCGAAATAACAACAAATAACAATGGCACATCAAAAATCTGTAACCAATTCGAAGGTATTGTCCTTGAATAATATTCAACCTCTGACACGGTTAAATAAAAATCAAGTTCAGTTGCCATGAATATTAAAATTATAAAATAGCATTAGGTAGCATGTGTTACGGAAATAAAGTTAGACCAAGCACCAAAATGTAAAGATTATATATTATACTTAAATAGCATTAAATCATTACATTTCTTATATAAGTATATATTATGGAAACTACTATGCATAATATCTACAAATATAAAATAATAGTATATCTAATTGAATATTTGATATTACAATTTTGGAAATTTAATAAATGTGTAAATGCCTACTATCAAGTATTGAGTATACCTATATGGATTATATACCATATTATATTATACATTTGAATTTTAAAAAAAGGTAAAACTAGACATCCCTTCACGACTTGTTAGATTTGTTTCTTTGGAATTTTTATTTGGTTATGATACGTTTTTGAAAAAGTGGTTTTTTAAATGGATTCGTTTTGCTGCTGTGTTAATGCATAAAACATATTAATTAATGTCTGGTTTATTGGTATGTAATAATAATATAGCCTATCATACCTAATTTTTCAAAAAATTAGAAACCCATAGGTACTGGCCATACTAAGGCAACTATAATTTAATTGGTTATATTGTTAATAGTTAATAAATACAAAGTAACAAATAAAAATGAATTATTAATGGATATATCGTAAGATATGATCATAATTCATATGCATTGGATTATTAGATATACGTTTTGCACTTTAGTATGCGTCTTGTAATAAACAATACAAAGCGTACTTATAAATATAAGTTCGGTAAAATACTTTTATAAATTTTGTATTCACGAGGTACCTATTTAAACAACGATAGTTTTATACATTAATATGTGCCAAATTAATGTCTGACTTTCTTTAAAAACCATTGATGAATTTCGATGGTTTGGAAAAACTTCAAAAGATGTCCAATAGGCAATAAGGCAATAATTATGATGATAGCTATATGTGATAACTATAAATTAAAATTATTTTTATTTATAGAAAGTCTACCATGAATGCTTTAAATTTTAAACTAGATATTAATACGTTGAAATGTATCAATACCTAAAATATTAATTTTCACTCAAAATTCAAATTTTTAAAAGTTAAATAATAAGTACAATCATACAATAAGATACTAACATATATATTATATGTATTAATAGCAAATGCCTAGGTACTGAGCTATACAAATGAACTAATTAGTGATAACTTAGATAATTTAATGTATGTAAAATAGTAGATAATATGTAGTATTTGCAATCAATATCATTGATAATACATAAGCATAATTATTTTATAAAGTTAAGCATAAATTATTTAAATGTTAAATATTTCTTAGATGGGTACATTTGCTGGGTGTTATCAATGGATAACTTCCCAATTTTAATATTCGCCGTCATTTTATATTCTCTCCTTTTTTTATCAAATCTAATTATTGTACAAAAATGTGTATAGATTGTAGATGTATTTAAAAAAAAAAAAAAAGAAAAAAAAGATGGGTACATTTGGAGAAACCAATAACTAATTATGGTATTTTCCAACGAAAAAATTATGATTCACGAGTAAAAGTGCCAAAGTGTAATATTGTATTATATATTCTACTGTAATAATCGGTGCATATATAAATTTATAAATAATTACATCATTAAATCATTTATTCGTATAATTGTGGGATTAATCTGCAAATTTAAACGACTGACGCGTCAACATTTTATTGGTCATTAAAGATTAAAGTGTTCGTCGATTGGTATAAACATTAAATAATAATATAATGGGATATGGATCACAGAGTAGATTGAACCTAATCTATTCTGTGTACCTATGGATCAGATATATAAAGTATTTTTTTGTTAACACACAGCGGGATTATAAGCTGCTAATGCATAGATAACCATATTGTTGTGTTCTGTTTGGCTTGTTCGCCTTGTTCACGAATAGTCGCGTGTGGAACGTGCATGTCAAAATACCGGTTGAGATGTATTTTTAACTTGCACAGATTAAGTAGGGCGCATTTGCGGATGACGGTCAAAGAGAACAAATTAAAATCGAAAAATTAAAAAATCCGCGTAGACACATTATAATAAATTAATAAACAAATAAATATAGTGTATTAAACATACTTTATATGTATATCTGTTAGTTACTATACATTATTTGGCCGACGACTTGAAACAGTTATACCAAAATCAATTGACGTTGTACAGTTATCTATAAACATATATTAAAAAAAAAACGTTTTATATTTCGTTTATACATGTACCTAGCTACCATAAAATAAAATTGACGTAGCGTGCTTGATATTTTGCTAATGAATACCTAGATGTAAATCAATGCAGCCATTTTTTTAAAAAGCAAAAATATATGGAACGAAACATGGAACAGAATGTATAGAATAACATACATCATACATAATGATGTGTGTATATTATATATATACAGTTCATGCACGATGCACGTAGGTAGTCACGTAGCCATACAATAGTATACATAATAATATTATGTTATAACTTATAACTTATAAGTACAGCTGTTTGAGTTAGTAATTAACTACAGTCTATAATAACGCATATCACTTAACCCATTATACGTTTAATAGTTAGTTTGGGCAGGACGATTGGTMGGGAATATTTATTTTTTTAACACAGGTACTTAAACGCATCACGCTTTGTCCGATTAATATAACACTGTATTTAATACTCTCTGTACAATATAAAAAATATAATGTATATAGAAGTCAATTGGCAATTTTTTTAATAATATCGTGTATTGCGAACAGCGATTATACTATAAGCAGCGCCTTTTGACTTAATATAATATAATTATATTGTATATTTATTTTTCGGTAGTAGTGACAAAAATATAGACATATACTCTCAATATTATATTATTTTACGCTTATAACACATATCATTATCTACTTTATGTTATTTTATTTATATTTTTAAGACTTAACGGATCATAAGATTCAAGTACAATATTGATATATAAATGAAAATAATAATAATAATTTATTTCTGTATTATGTCTTTATTATATAATGTGTACCTATTAAAAGTATATTCAAATTTCAAATGAATAAAAATCGTAACGAAACGACGAAAAACGGCCGTATAAAACTCGCTGAAATATGTAACTCTCTCTTTTTTCCAAATCGTGCGCGTGGATACGACTGTTTTTCTACATATACATTTAATAAAAGTTAAATAGAATTTAAAAACAACAAAATTTGTTTTAACTTTTTTATTTCGTCCTCTAATCCTTCCTGGCGATTGTGGTTACACATATCATATCATCATTGTTATTGTTATAGTACGATTCATTGCGCAATTATTAGGAATTTTATTGTCCACACATACAATCGCTGATACATACATACATATATATATATATAATCGCGATTCGCGAGTACACGGGCATAATAAACATTCGCGAAAAACACCCGCATATACGGGTTTCGAGCGAAATTTGATGTACCTATAGACGGTATATTTATTACGTATGTTTATTTACACCATATTATTACTATGCTGAACGCGAGTAATAATTGTTATGTCGTCGGGGATAAACATTTATCGAGATCAGCTGCACATAAAAATAGTAAATACAATGTAATATTTTAAGCTCAAATCGAAGTGTTGCACATCAAAACCGGTTCGACGATAATAATTTCAATCACCGCACGGCGTTCAAGTTGAGCGGCGAGCAGAAGAAATTTATTCCGGTACTTATAAATCGCGGAGTCTATGTGTGGGTAAGTTGTGTAAATGCGTGTGTTTGTGTGTGTGATGCGTGTAATATATTACGTACCTACGTTGACGCGAATACTGCTCGTCGACAGAGGAAAAAAAAATTCAAACACCGAAGATAGCATAATAAATAATAATATTACGTCGTATATCTCGTATGTACCTACATTATTAATTATTATGTTATATTGTATTGACGATTAATTTAAGCGTGTCGTATGAGTATTATTTTTTTATTTTTTTTTTCCTCATTAAATGACGTCCGTCAACTTTCTGGTAAAATTTCCCTCGCTTTGTTCAAAATCCCGTTTCGTGTTCCGTCGCGCGATACATAATATTACATTGTAGAGAGCCCGCCGCCGCGGCTGTCCATTCGCTGCGGTTTTGTCAAAGCCAAAGGTGAATCTTTTTTTACGCATGGGAAGGGAGACGCTGCCGCGTTTTGCTCAAGACGAGACGCATTTTCATTCAGTGCTATCCGGGCAATACGACGTGATACAATAGTTGATACCGTGGAGGCCACAGCAGCAATATTATCGGTGTATCGATGGTCTCTTTTGCGTTCTTTAACGTGCACCAGCACCATTGGTCGACATTTTAAGTGAGTACCGTTTATACCGTGTATAATATGTATATATATATATATGTGTATATTTAATATTTACCCTTACCCATGTGGACTTGTAGTACCCAAGTGGTTAAGTAGTACAACTTTAATAGGCAATACCGTTTTGTTTTTTAACGTTGTAATTATTATTGTTGGCGCGCCCGCGCAGTACGTTTGTTTGTTTCGTTATTTTTGTTGTGCGTATGATCATTTATTTAAAACATTATTTTGGTTATTATTAAGTGCTTACCAGCCACGCGACCGAAATCATCGTACTGGCGATTTCACAAAATAGTTTTGGACGACGTCTATGTACACAAACAGCATTATATTATAGCATCCATAGGTACATCGAAATAAATTAATAATACCTGAACAAACTTTTCAATCGTGTACATATTTGATATGAATATTATAAATACTTTAAAACGTTTAAAATAAAAAACATTTAACCTCAAGAAAGTGTTTTTTTAACTTTTTTTAGACGTCTTAATTTGTTGTTTATATCATTTCTAGTCGTGAAACCAAGCAGGTACCTAATAAAAACAATATAATACGTGTTTATTTTATTTTATAGCCTTCAGAATTGAGTTAGGTACATATGACACACACACACACACACACACACATATATATATATATATATATATATATAACGTCGTCATATAAAATATTATTTCTGTATATTAATTTGCATAATACATCTAAATAAGTAGTTCATAGATATAAATGTTTTTAAGCGTGTTACGTCTACTACGTATATAAATAATTAGCATTAGTTTTTGTCTTTAACACTTATGGACTTTTTATCAAATGTAACAATAAGTCAATAACATATAGTAACAACCTTTGTTATGCATGCTATTCTACACCAAACTATGATACGTTTAAAGATTTATTAATCTTTGTCTTTGTGATCACATTCTTTGCATGGTTAATGCTCTGCAATAATAGGTGAAGGTTAGGTGTTGGCTAAAAGCAACAATTTATTTAAGGCTAACTAACTATACAAGCTAAAATTAAATATGTATTAATGAATATCGGTGCAATTTATATTGTTATTGTAGCGACAAACGATTATCAATAATGTTTTGATTCATAAACGAATATTTATATTATATTTAAATTTCATTATATTATGGAAAAAAATTTAATTAAGCTATAAATCACGTAAAAATGTATTTTTACAATATCTTCTATAATGTTTATCTAAACGTTTTTGTTAAATCATTATTAACTAGTATATTTTTTTAAAGAAAATATTATTGTCTATTTGACTATTTATAAGTCCATAACATATTACATAATATGTATTCCCTAACTAACAAGTAATAACTATTATTATCATAATTTATGATTAAAGTGATTCTTTTTTAAATAATATCTACATGTATTAGTAATTTTACAATAATAGTCATTATAATAACTAATTATTAATAAGTAATAATTATCATAACAATATTTCGAGGAAAAATATAAAAAGTGCTGTATACTACTATACTACTATTTTGCACTTTTTATATTAAGTATTATATAGTATTACTATATAAATTAAGGTGATTATCGAATTTTATAAAAAAAAATAAGATATTTTTATAACTCATTTGATGGTGATGATTAGTGAAACATATTCTCTTAGTCTTAACTAGACTTGTGGTACRATATTTTGATTTAAATTTGGCAATAGACTGTTCTGATAAATGGCTATCATTTATTTCTTATACCTAATGTAGTGAATTATTGAAATAAATGTGATAAATTAAATAACTGTATAAAAATATATTAATGCAAACATCCCAAGTTTGAATTATAGTTACATTGTATTAATATACATTATAATTAGTGCTTAAAGGACACATATTTTGCAAGAGTAAATCTTGGACACTGCATTTAGAGTATTCAAAAGTTATAACTTTAAGAGGGGACTGATAAAAATATCAATCCGAATACTACAAGGCACTTGTAATTTATTCTAAAACGTAGTCATATTTATTTGGAAAAATTTGATGCGTATTTCAGTATTTGCAAAAGATCAAGTTTTGCGTAGTTTAAACTTGTTATGTTAGTGACTAGTGTCATKTTAACTTTAATGATTTAATTCCATTATATAAATTATTTATACATTATTAAAAAACTATGAGTTTTTTAATCTTTCAGTTGATACAATTTTTTATGGGTATTGTTATTAAAACAAATAATAGCATTAGGTAATGCATTATAATATATTATACTGATTAGTGATTAAAACAAAATCTAGATTGTTGGCGGTGCTTAGGTACAAGTTTAATTATATTATTGTTTAATGTTTATGCATTTAGTAACAACTAACAAGCGTAAAATATGATTTGAGTTCAATAAAGAAAATTATGGACATTTATAATTCAATATATTTTATAAATATATAATTTTAAATTTCGAGTGGAGTGATTAATGTATAGGTAGATTTAATAATGATATTTATTATTTTTTTTGCGTGAGTCACACTCTTTTAGTCCATATAAACTAATTCAATCCTCAACATAGAGGGTGATTTCTGTTAGAAATTTTGATTTAGTTTGTACCTTAGATTGTATATTTCAAATAAAGAAAAAAAAAGTTTGTACCTATTGGGTTCAAATGAATTCTAAGAACTTTTTTAAATAATCAGGTAAAACAAAGATATAGTTAATTTGTATAGAAGTTAAAAAAAAATATTTTAGAGACTTAAATTTTTCACCCAGTATTCATATATTACCATTTACTAGACACAATAATGTACAATATTTGAGATTTAGGCTCTTCGTTCTATTTATATCACAATTATAATTTATTGTTTTACTTTTAAGTTTTATTTGCTGATATATTTGTATCATTTT